TTCTCTGCTTTACCTCTTCAGAAAGGTTTTGTCACTTACTAACTATACTCTCGTAATCAGTAGCCTCTTCGTCCAAAAGAACAACACCTTTCTTAAAGCAATTTCTAGCTTGCATCATTGCCTGAAACAAATACCTTCCATATGGGAACGCATATCTAAAGGATGATATAAGGTGTACCTGCATATGTAGCAAGGATATATGAGGTTTGCTGAATCGGGTAAATCCTCCTTCAACAATCTGCTCATATCTTATCCATCTGAACTTAAAATATTTAATTACACATGAATCAGGATCTTGATTAATTTTAGGAAGAAGAATGAATATTACCGTGTAGTTTGCTTCCAGACTTCACCATCTTCACTATCTTCCAATGTCATCAGTTCGCTAAAAATAAGCGGATCATCATTGGGATGCAATAGGACAAGTCGTCGAACATTTTCCACAGGGCCTGAAACGTGGTGAGAATATAAAAGTAAGATAATTGCGACAGGCGTCATTAAACAGAAGGGTACAGTATTAGATATTCTTGCAGGAAATTTCTAAAATCTTTGTCATTGCTTTGATTAATTATCTTTTCCGTATTTCAACTTAATATATTTGTAACCTTGTACTATTAGCATACAGGACATTCGCAGACTTCCGAGGTTGGTGCTCTGGCTTGAGCGGTCATTTTTATTTTTGCTTAGATAATAAGCCACTTATTGAAACTGGTGGCATCCAGGCCTAACGGACACGGTCCTAAGACTGTGTCCCGTTCAAGTCTTCGTGGTTTTTAAAGCTATGTTGCCAATACTAACATCAAATCATCAAAATATTTTTTTTTCAAAGATTCATTCAATCTCATGCAAATCTGCAGCTGATAGACGAAAACATTCGCTGTTGATCAAGAGCACTTTTGACTGCCGTTAGCGCAGAAATACCCAAACCCTGATATCTCTGTGTTTATACATACTATACGCAACCATTCTCTAATGCTGTCTTTCTTATGCCTGGCACATTTCAAGTCGATTATTTATTTTATATATAGTATAGAGTAGACGATTAGGTAGAAAATAAATCACAAAGTTTCTGTTTTTGATATCGGAGCCGAATAACACATTACCAAATTCCTCAGAAATGTAAATAGGTGACTTAGAGCCAGAGATTCATTGTATGCAATTTGAATAGATTTGAAAATACAAAAATTGTCGTGAGATTTACTGGCCTGAAAGATTATTTTGTCAAATTATGGCATTGTTATGGCTAATAAAATCTTCTGAATGCATGTATACATTGC